GTAGACTATACAAACACCACGACTTGGAATATGTAATTAAAAATCTAACTATAGCTAGTGCTCAAAAATAAATGTACTAACAAAAAACCCTAATGGTTCTTTGAAACTCATATTCAAAATAGAAAATCTAGGCAGGGAAAACAGTAATTTCTGCAACTAGTTCCAACAAAAACAGTGACCAAAGCACTAAGATACAGCTTCAAATGCTTTTCTCTGAAATCCTACCAACAGGATTGGTAAAAACACCCTTATTTGGAATTAAATGAAACCTAGTGCAGTGCTTGCCAGTACTGCCATTTAAAAATTAGGATGTTTTGCCTTTTTTTTTTTTTTAAACTGTAGCTGTCTCTGTATTCATCTCTGATACATACTGATGTGACACTGTCTCACATAACCACAGACGGTGTGGGTCTTTCCAATAAAAAGCTGGCAACAAAAAAAACCCCAGAACTAAGTATTTCAATATAGTTAAGAAGGTTTTTACATGCAGAAGATCTGCTGTGATGAAGGGCCGACATGTTCAGCCAATAGACAGCCATGGTTAGAAGACAGCAAAGCCCCAAGACACCTGGCTGAATTTCCACTAGAGGGTGCACAAAGCCCATCTCATACAGCAAAGACCACATTCAGCATCACTTCTCCAGCCACAGAAGTTCTTCCAAGGGGTAACTGTTCCAAAATAGTTACAGATGGTCAGAAAGCACTTTTGTTACTCCTTTTTTTGAGACTGTACACAATGATCCCAAATACCTCTTACAAGACAAACTAGAACATTGCTGCTAATGATGTTTTAAATCACCCTTAAGCAGTCAACTTTACTTCTAAACTCCTACACAAGACTGTCAACTTCTAACACTACACGAATGCTCATGATTACCCTAGTCCTATCAATTTTTTCAATTTATTCTCACTTTCTCAAACGTGCAAGACAATTTTCAACTCATTTGCACAAATAGCCCCTCAATGTCTCCACGAGCACTAAACCAAAACAAAGAAAACTTCGCTAAAATAAAGCAAGCACCAAAAAAAACCTGAAAAATAAATGAAGACTAATTAAAGTAGCTTAAGAAGCTTAAGAGTAAAGGTGCTGGTAGAGAACAAAACACCATGGATGTGCCACGTTCAGCATAATGAAGCCCCTACTTCACTTAAGACAGTATAACAAAATAAACACCTAAAAATGAGCATTTTCTTTAAACATTAATGAACACTTGCAAAACAGGCCAAGTACCTGGGCTATCAGACATCGGTGGTTATTTAAACAACAGCTACAGTACTGTGTGATATGCTGGATGAAAAAAGTAATTTTTACCATCTTGGAAGACTCTCTCCACATTGAGTCCGTAAGTAGCACAGGTTTCGTAGTAAGTGCACCTCTTGAGATCATTTGATAACTTCCTCGCTCTGGCATCGTCTATGACACGTGGATTACTGGAACTTATAGCATCTACAGCAACAGCAGGGAAAAAAAAAATGTATTTAAATATAATTTGAAAACATCATCTTACAATTATCAGTAACCAAGCAGTGACTTTAAGTACAAACCATGAGACACTTAGAATTTTTAGAAAACAACAGGGTGCACATCACTCCAATTTCATACTTTTTTGCTAAAATCACCAGCATACTGATTCATTCTAAAACCAGGAAAAAACCTAAAATACTTTTTTGTTACCTTAAAAATATATTTAGGTCACTAGCTGCAAAATAGACATAATCACATTAAAGAACATGAGCTCTGATGTAAAACATACTTAGAAAAACAAATGGCTGATGACTATAAACATGTCAAATGTTTTTTAGGACTCCTACAAATACCAGCACTAGCTTACAAGTCACCTTCACCTACAGAGCGTGAAGCATAAAACATGACATGTTTGTAACAACATTTTCAGTAGAGAAATAATGGGATGAGGGGAGAAATGGTACCATGTATTACTGCAACACTCAGGGAAAGTGCTGGATTTGCACACGAAATGCTTTTCTTAAAAGAAAAAAAAAACAAGCTAGCCAACACTAAGACAACTGGGGTGGGGTGGGATGGGAAATCACAATGGCAGGTAAGAAGTAACAAAGCTGTACAGGACTGCAATGATCATGTTGCTAAATCTAGAGTCCAGCTCTTCCCTCAGTTCCTCATGTGTGCTTTTTTTGGTCCTTCCCATTTTTTAGGCTAGTTCTCTCTGCATTTTGTTCAGGCACAGAGAGTCAATAGTGTGCTAGCGAGGCTGGGCTGGAAGCAAAGCACTCTGCTAAACCCCAGCCCTGCTTCTGTGGCACACACTACGCCTCAGTCGACACAGAGACTCGCCAGTTTAACATGAAATGGAGATTTCACAGATTACATTCCTGACCTGGCTTTCAAGTCACAGTCAAGATGGAATCCTGGAAACTCACAAATGACAGAGTGTCAAACTTTGATTTAAAGGCACCCATGAGACATTGTGCAAACATACTGCACAGCCAAGAAAAATAATAATTTTCTAAACAAATAATAATACTTTTTATCTCTCTGCAAGACATACTTCTCATACATGCTTTTTAACTGCAATTTCTAGACCTTATCCATAGGAGCTGAAAAAAACTTTACACCAGGGAAAAAAAAAATTTAAAAAGTCCTGCTAACTGATGAAGAAGTTTCTTTATCGCTACTCTTGTAGCAAAGAACTCTACAAAGGTTATATTGTTTGACTCTATTGTAAAGTGATAATACTATGAACAAATCTTAAAAAACATCTTTTTTTTTTTTTTTCCCAGGCGTATCATAGTAATCCATTAGCTGTGGCAAAGAAGTTGTAAGGGGAGACAGCAGTACAATCTATTTTAGAAAACTCTGCGGTTACCACTTAGCCACCGCAACAGGCACTGATTTCAGAAAGTTGTCCTAAAAATCTGCTACTTTCCGTGGTGGCAAAACTATCTTCGTTCTTCAGAAAAAAAGCATCACTTTAACATGAGCATGAAGTCAGTGACTATTGCAGTGCTGTATTTGAGGTTCAGTTCTGGGCGTGGCATGACCACATCTCAACTGCTATTATCACTTACCTTCTCATGAGCTCTAATTAATAAAAACAGAACCATTATTTGGAAAGCTAACGGCAAGATTTTTTTTAATCAGCAGAGGGCGCCGAAAACATTTAACCAGAAAGGAATTGATACGCAACACCACGGCTTCAAAAAGTTGGACTTCTGAAGCAAATTCAGTGCTACAGCCTGGCCCACCGCAGAACAGTGAGGCAGAGGAGAATATCTGGAACCATCAGGCAACTGCTAACATTCTGGGAGAGATTTCATTTCACAGCTCATTTCAAGAACACCAGTCAAAACCAACAAGCTGGATGTCACACAGGTATATTTCAAATATATTTTTAACAGATGTATTTTTATGTTTCACATATTTCATTTCACTTCACAGTTTGGCAGTCAACGTAGTTAAAAGGCTGTATTTTTTCCTGATGCTTACTCCCAGAATTAGCAGTACTTCCATCTTCAGCCACATTTTTAAAAAGCCCCCTTTGCATCTGCTGCAACAGAAAATGAACTTTGAAAAACAAAATTCCTTTCTGGTGACAATTGGAATGAGATAGAAAATGATACCCTAAAGTGCCAGAAGTGCAGAAAGGGAAGCACCTTCAGAAAAACGTTTCCCCCTCTCCTTTTTCAACTCCAGTTTTAAGTTGACAGCGTGGCCCTTCAAAGCGGTTCATTTCTGCTTTTTGGCTGTAGTTTCTGCTGTCCTAGGACTTTTTGTGTACCTACTTCCCTTCTCGTTTTTTATCATCTGTTTCCGCCTAAAGCCCAGTTGCAATTCCTCCTTCCGTGCTGCCTATACTTCCCCTGCCTTCACGTGGCAGTACTGATGGCACAGCTCTGCAGGCCGTCAGGCAGGGGAAAGCAAATCACTCTCTGACCACAAGGCTGACAAAAGAATACTGAAAAAGCAATGAAAAGCTTCAACATCACCAAAACCAGTGGCATACACTAAAAGGGAATATGCCCAAAATCAAATTACAAGAGCAACTCCCAACACTTGTTTTCTCCCTCTAACACAGCACAGTAACCTGACAATATATTGAGAGCAATGCTTCAGTATGAAGGAACTCACAAAAATGTCTGAACTATGCTTCCAAAACAGCAGCTCTGTAAAGTAAGAAGTCTGAAGTCCGGCACCTAGGCAGGAACTCCTCATTTTTGGTAAGAATTATCACAGGATGGACACCTACATGGCTAGGTGCAGAGCAGCCTCAACTCGTTGTGTGTCTACTCCATTCAGCAAACCAACCGCAGTATGGGAAACTGCCGAAACATTAGTGTGATGCACTGGCAAAACAAGGCAGGGAATATCCAAAACACAGCTCAGATACAGAAGAAACTGAAATGTTGCTGGTACCTTTCCCTTGACACATTTGCCCATAGGATAGCCGCGGCTAGCTGCTGCTCCAGAAGGCATTTTGGAAAAACAGAATTGTGGGGGGTTGTTTCAGGAGCCTTAAAGCTCCATTTCCATTTGGTTTGAAGAATGGTATACCTAAGAGATTGCACAAGGGCACAGTTCAATTCTGTTTCTTAAAACAATGTTGAAGGTTTTTGATCCCCAATCCATCTGCCTCCTAGGAATGCCAAGGTATTGATCACTTCTAGACTGCGCATTTTGGAAAAACAGAATTGTGGGGGGTTGTTTCAGGAGCCTTAAAGCTCCATTTCCATTTGGTTTGAAGAATGGTATACCTAAGAGATTGCACAAGGGCACAGTTCAATTCTGTTTCTTAAAACAATGTTGAAGGTTTTTGATCCCCAATCCATCTGCCTCCTAGGAATGCCAAGGTATTGATCACTTCTAGACTGCCAAGCTAAAGGAAACCGATCTCACTTCAGAACTTCCTTACCCAACTGATTCACCTGCCGAAATTGAACATTAGCATCTCCCCGCTGATCAAGAAAACCACCACGACTGGCAAGCACTGAAAATATTTTTTCAAATATTCTTCTAAGTCATCATTGCTAAAGTCCTACACTCTCCCAAGGGTGCTGCGTGGACATTTGTCTCCCATCTCAACCAGCCCTTGCAATGCCACGGCCCTCCAGCAAGCCAGCCAAGGAAGCCCAGATGACAGAACACCACCCTGCTGATTAACTGGCAGTTTATCCACAAGCTCTCATCATCAGATGAGTGGCAGTGCTGATGCAAGAGAGGGGTAAAGACAGGACATAGCTTTGCCAGCTTGTAACAGTCTATATGGTCACAGAAATACACTTGTAAATCAAGACTGCACTTACCCTGGGTTCCCACTAGTACCATTGGAATTTCGCTAGTGTTACGATAGTTAGCCATACGGCTGTAGTAGTGGTAAACAGTCTGGAAGCTAATTTCATCTTCCAAGCTGAAGACAAATATAACAGCATCCACCCACATGGCAAACTGCAGAATAAAAATGGAAAAGGCATCCTGTGACAAAGGCAGCGAAGAGGAAAAAAGGAAAGAAAAAGAAACATTCTTACCTTACTTGGAGGGAAATACACATCAGAGAAACTTTGGTAGTGACAATAACCAAGGCCTTAAAAGCAGCATATTATTTCTAAAATGATGAATCAACGTTCATCACTCTGCAAGTGATGGGGATCCGGTATACACAAAGGTTTTTCCCTACA